TTTTTTTTTCACTGTTTTCTTTTAACCTTTAATTAGGTAGACGGAGGACAACCTCTTAACATCTCAGTTTTCTAGCATTTCGGATCTTTCAGTTATCAACTTACTCGAAAAAATTTTGGCGGGCCCAACGCGAGTACCATGCTTACCCGGGGTTGGGTTTGAGCTCATTAATAATTACATGGACAGGGGAAATCCCGATAAGATTTCAGCATTCTAGCTTCTCATGTACCCGAGTTATGAACTTACCTGAAAAAAATTTTGGCGGGCCCGTACGCGAGTACCACACTTACCCGAAGGCTGGGTTTGAGCTCATTAATATCTGCTTGGACAGGGGACGTCTCTTTAAGATTTGAGCTTTCTGGCGTTTCAGATCCCCGAGTTATGAACTTACCCAAAAAAAAATTTTCACGGAGTCGTACGTGGGTACCATGCTTAGGGGCTGGATTTGAGCTCGTTAATACCTACTTGGACAGGAAACGTCCCTTAAAATTTCAGCCCTCAAGTATTTCTGGTCCCCGAGTTAGCAGCTTATTCGTAAAAATATTTGGCTGGCTCTTACGTGAGTACCACGCGGATAAGACCGCCCATTTTGGGGATTGAGGCCTGTACGTGCATGTAGATTATGTCCCCAAAGTTTTGGCCCTGCAATTTTTGTTGGTCTCGAGATGAAAGATCGGTATAGAGGTCCAGCGCACACACAGACAATCTCTCGTCAGTATGCGTTTTTATGTGTTTTTTGCAGCTACGCAATGCAGAAAACGCATATTGACGAGAGGTTGTCTGTGTGTGTGTGTGTTTGTGTGTGTGTCTGTGTGTGCGTTGCGCGTCTGCACCGATTTTTCATCTTAAGACCCAGAAGAGCTACGGGGCTGAAACTTGGGGAGCTTGATCTACATGACATGCGGGTCCCAACCGCCAAAATGGATGCCCTCACCCGCGTGGTACCCGCGTATGGGCCCGCCAATGTTTTTTTGGGTAAGCTGATAACTCGGGAATCTGAGAAGCTAGAAGGCTGAAATCTTAAGGGGATGTTCCCCGTTCAAGTAAATATTAATGAGCTCAAACCCAGCCCTCGGGTATACGTGGTATCCACGTGCGGGCCCGCCAAAGCTTTCTTCGGGTTAGTTGCTAACTCAAAAGCCAGGGGAGCTTGAAAGCTTAAATTTTAAGGTGGTGTTTCCTGACTGACGGCCAGTTTTAATTTGTTTAGCTAGAAGCATTTGCCGGGAAAACCAGCGCCGGCAGCGACAAAAACTGCGGGGAACTATGCAAAAAACGCATCTTCGCGCGGGCAGCCCGTGCGCTGGCCAGTTATCCGCGTTGTATAGCTGTAAAAAATGCATAAAAACACATCGATTAAAGCTTACCAAAATACAGCCCACTGGAAAACACGCTATGCCACAAAATGCTAATATGTCGCACTTTAGAATTTTATTTTAGTGGAAGATCTTGTCGGTGTCACATTTTTTATGTTATTGTTTGTAACTATACATCAGTGCTAAAACGGGAAACCTGACAGCTTCTGGTACCCAAACAAGAAACGTAGTTCCGGCTATTAAAACTGGATGCGCTGAAAAACCGCAGTACGAAAAGTCATTATGTGCAGGAAATCGCTGTGTTTTTGTTACCTGTCGGAAAAAGGAATCCTTACAATTATTTTTTTTTATAAATTATTTTGTTATTTCTGTTCCATATCGACAAGGGATTCTTATAAAAAAAACCCCCACTTGAAAACCAGCAAATGGTGCATGAAAAAATAGGCTGACATCCCGCATGTAGTCAAAATGTCAGTGTGTCTATACTTGCTGTTTAATGACTGGTGTTACAGCCTTATTTAGGTAATGCAGATGATCTTAAATAGACTGAATTTACCTGTATATCGGGTAAATCGCTATCCGCAATGCGCAGCCGGTATTTATATTCCTCCCACATCCTTGTTAAGTTAGGCGCATTTACAACTCGTTTCAGTTCACCCCTCGATTTCCACCACATCTGTAATGTGCGCAGTGCCATGCGCCTAGCGCAACAACAGATGTTCCCTTGATAAAAGCAGTACAAAGCGTCTGAGCACCTATCCGACTTTAAATATGCCTTTGCACTGTTCGATCAGTCCAAACATTTTTTCACTGTTGCTGAGTCATATTGAAATATAAACTCCCTCCATATTTGCTCACTGAAAGGCGATAGAACCTGAGTGATAGCAAGTGCCAACAGCAACCAGCCGCCAGCAAGGCTATCGATAGTTATTTTTTTCGAGGGTTGTTTGGAAGCAAACTGATATCTGATTATATAAAATGTGTCTACGCCAATTTACCGCAGAAATGAATGAAGAACCGTGGAGGGATTGGTTGACCCATTGGCGAACTCATCCTATCAACTCTCCTCTCCTTTACAGCGGCAATGCTTCCTCCGCAACGTCAGCCTACATGAGCAATGTAACACACCCAAACATTCAGCACACAAAAATCTAAACTCATTTTATAAATTATTGTCTGTAAGACATGGAGGCATTGAACAGCAGTCCAAGTGGTAGTACATGCCAGCAGCGGTCATCCACTTTCAAGACTACCAATGACTACGACAGAAAGCAATGGGTTAGCTTGAAAGCTGACGGCGGTTTTGACTCTATTGCTAGTACCAATACCACTTTATCATCGAAACAAGCAAGCTGAAACGGATAGCTTTGGGAGTTTCAAAACAAAACTCTTGCAACACTCTCATCAAAACAGACTGCACCAGAAGAATTTGTTATGATGAGTGGGTTTCAGGGAAAAAAAAGAACAGCGGACTTACTCTATCAGTAGTACACTTTTCGAAGACGGCTCACCTGTCTAAGAAGACTCTCCATAATCATTGCATGGGTTTTCAGTTTTCTGGCTCGTTTGATCACATCATTCAATTTCCGCACGTTCGTTGCTGATGGAAGCAGTTTCAGTTCATCAAAGAAGTCGACATATTCTTCCGTGAAAATCTCATGAATTTCACCCTTCTAAATCATAGATATCTCATTTCCCAACAGTCAGTAGTCCAAAAATGGTAGCAACGAAGCAAGATCTTTGGCCTTACTTCTTTGAAGTTATATCTTACAAATATTTTTTGATTACCCTCTACATTCTTGAACGCACCCAAACATCGTGTTTGTCAGCCAAAATGGAAATCGCGCTAAATGAAGGTTTTGCAGTGACGATAAAGTCTCTAGACCCAAATAATATTTCTAAACCGAACGGCGCCTATTTCTTTATTTTGCCACACACCGTTTTTCAGAAAATTTCAAATTTAACATTTCTCTGTTAAGTTCGTAGCTTTTCAGTGTAAACTGGCAACTCTCGGCCAAAATCTGCCACATCATCAGGCCGTTTAGATTTTAACATCTTCCGAAGGAACATTACAATGGATCAGTAAATCTTCCTATCACTAAATAATAAATGTGTGTTAAAAAGTGGCGGTCCAGTATCAGAAACAATGACACTTTCAAAACAAAAAAAAAAATTTGAGCAGTTGAGAAACTTCAAACTACAAACAATGTCTTTATCGGCAGCAACGCAAAAGGATCCGATGAACACTTTTGGAACTTCGGGCGATTCCAGAATTCGACTCAAACTCCACATTAAGGCGCCTCGTACTCGAATCAGTTCAGCCGCTCCAACTTGATCCGCTTTGTTGAGCACTATTTTAATCTAAAATAATTGATTCTCTAAAGGAAGAAGGCTGAAGTTCTTATTCTACCTGAAATGCTATGGTAAAGTACGGGAGTGAAAGAGGCAGCATCCAGGGCAAAACAATGCGAGTTGCAGTTCCGTGACGAGGTTCCCATATAGCTTAGTTTAGCGGAAAAGTTTTTGCGGGACTTGCGTTACTGAAATATAAATGTAAAATATAAGGATTCCTGCTTTCGACTTCCGCAGTTAAACTTACAGGTTTTTTTTTTTGTACAGCTTTAAAAGCTGTCCCTCGGCAGTCAACAGTACTCCTGCTGAAATATAAAACTGATAAACTGTATTAAAAAACAGATAATGAAGCGCAGTGACATAACTTGCCCATCAGCCAAAGATGAAATCATTGGCGATGCGCACCAGGTGAGTCCGTGCGATCATTTTTTTTTTGCAGCAGTTTGTGCTATAGTGAGATAGCTAGGAAATCCAGTAGCTTGAATGTGACATACCGGTCCTCGAAGCTCGGGAAGTTAATAGTGCAAGTATACGATACTTGACAGGGGAAATTCCGTCAAAATTTCAGCTTTCTAGCTTTTCTGGTTTCCGAGCTAGCGATTATCCCCCCAAAATCTTTCATGGGGTCATATGTGAGAACCAATAAAATCGGGGACTAAAACACCTCCTGAAAATTTTAGCCTCCCAGCTTTTCTGGTTTTGGAATGAGCAGTTTTCCCGCCAAAGCTTTCATTTGGTCGTACACGGAGTCTAAACTTGCGTGAGAGTAGGTACCGCGGCCCCGGGGTGTCACTTGGCTGAGGAACCCGCTAGCAAGATCTTGGCGTCGGAGCTTGTTTGGTTGCTGAATTGAAATACCTGGACAGACGCACACACACGCGTACATACACATACACACACACACACACAC